CATAAACCATTTATGTGAGGAATGGCAACTACTACTTGATAACTAGAGCTAAGGAAGAGTGCAAATGTTTGCTTGCAATAGGGCGAGCGAATGTTTGCTTTGCTTTGTGTGTGTGTGTTTCTCTTTATCTGCATGCATGTATGTGTGTGTGTGTTTGTTTGTTTGTTTGTTTGTGTATGATGCGTAGTTCCACAGCACAGAGGCGAAAATTTGAAATCTTGAGCAGTTCGCAGTGTGCAAGATCACAAACCTGAAACTTACTTCGGCTTCTGCCTGCTTCTTGACCTATGACTTCAGGTTCAAATTTTTACGAATGGTGTAGCTTGGCTGAAAGTTATAGGCGGGCAGTCTTCTGAAAAGGTTTTGTGGATGATTCGATTGATAGGTCTGAAATGCGTCTCGTTGACCGTTGACCTCTGGCCGAAAGCCTAGTTACTCGTTGAGGTTATAATTTTAAAACGAAGCAACAGCAGAGTAGGCCACTGAAGAGTTACGCAGTACATGTGACTCTACGTCGCTCAGATCAAGCCTCAAGTTATGAGTCAAAGCGGTCACGATTCGATCAGTTCAGTGATTGCAGAAATGCCGGATATGCGAGTACATGACGTTGCATAGAAGCTGTCTTGTTTTTTTTTTTTTTTTTTAAGATCAAAGTACCTCTGATTCTGAAAAACCCTGGTTGAATGTACCGTCACCGACGAGAAATCGACTGTCTGGAACAGCCACACGGAGGGACTTTTGATCTGTCCTGGATTAGTGGGCATTGGCGCCTCTTTCACTCACCGCCTGTCGCTTCATCCGTTCCAGAGCTTCCATGGTTAAAAAGAAAATCAATTGAATACTTTTGAATATTTGATCGCAAAGTTTTCGTCAACAAAGTGTTAAACAAGAATAAAGTGTGATTTTTGAAACTACCAGTAATAAAAGAAAAATAAACTCTTACAAAAAGAAACTTGTCTAACTTAAAAAATATAAGTAGATAATATCAAATATAACTGAAAAGGAATGTTTTCATCCATTGAGTCGTATACATTCTATTTCAGTACCAAAACTGCCCCTGGTAATCGCTGTGGGTATCTCATGTTAGTAATGTTAGAGGAGTGCCTCCACACGTCGGCTGCAACTAGGCCAGCTGTTGTGAGGATTTTTACAGACAATAAAAAAG